GTAGTATTTTGACTGCGGAGGAAGATTTTATCACATGACTTCATCGACTGATTCATCAGACCGACTCGTCGTAACACATGTTGATTCTGAACCAGAAAGTTATGAATCTGGCTCAAAAAGACACTGGGCTTCAGAATATGTCATGGAGAGATTTATTGAACTGATGGATGATCATGTTACATAAGACTTGTCCAATAGACTGGTGTCAAGGGGCCAGAAAGATGGTGCAGTAGGGATTCAGTTTGAGTGTTATACATTTCATCTGCTTTAGACTGGTGGGACTTTCAAAATCAGAAAACTGGTTGCCAATGTTGCCAGCAAAAGCAATAGAAACACAGCTCAGAACAAGAACATTAAGACTTTGAACACAAAAAGGATTTCCCATTACTGGACAAACTCAAAAGTGGTACATTCCAACCCCTGAAATGAAGCTGTTTCAAATTATGATATCTAAAACTCATGGCATAAAGCAAGTGCCACTCAAAAAAATTCTTGAGCAATTGCCTGTGAAAGGCAAGATCCAACTCTTTGTTGTACCAGACCAAGACTTGAAGACTATCTTTACAAAAGTATCTTACTGAGACACAAACTGTTTCTAACAATGTACCCAAAATTTAATATGTGCAAGCATTATCTGATCTGGAATTGTAGGCAAAAGAATGAAATTATGGGAATGTGTGATGCATGGTAACACCAATATCTACAAGAGAATGCAGTTATTGTATGCACATATGGTTACTGGCATTCAACTTCCTCCTTCAAAATTAAATTGTGCAAAAATGCATTGAACAATGGGTCTTAGGAATAGAGCTTTGTATGAGTGAGGTTCAAAGAAAACAAACAAGGTAGGGAAAAAAGTTCTAAGATCTGTATCATGATATTTAACAAATTAAAATAAGGGAAGGAAGATGTTCTAATTACCAAGCATTTTTATGATCAACAAACTTTATTCAAAAACTTAAGAAAGTTATTAAATGTTTGCCGCAAAGGAACACATAGTGAAACCACTATGTTACAAGCTGACGGAAAGACTCACCTTGTTTTGATACAAGTAATAATATTAACACAACATCTGGCAGCTTGTAAGCTGAACGTAGAGGAAAGGCATACATTAATTAATGCCCTTCAGTTAAGAGAGATTAATTCGTGAAAGCAAAGTCACAATAATCATGTAATTGTGTCGTGATGTCATAAGCAGGTCTTCTGTAGCTGTCAATAAAATCTTATAAAGATCGAAATACATAATATTTTATATCAACAAGTCAATACACAGCTACATCTTGTCCTTTTTGGCATACTGTGGCAGGTTCAAGAATACTAGGTCAACAAATTCGATGCAATTCTATGTAGAAATACTTCAAAAACATATCCTAGAGGTTTATCAAATGATGGGAAATAATGGCGGCTAAGCTCACCAAAGCAGCAGTCTGAAGGGCCATCTGAGAAAAGAAAATAGCTAAGTTTTTTTTTGAACTATACTGAATGAGAAAATAAGTAGTTTATATCTACTATGAATACTGACAATCAATGTAAATGTGTTCATTTTATGGCTCATACAATTACAATCTGTTGATAAAGCTCTAATACTAGTATAGTTAAATAAAACAGTCATTCACGATCAATAAAAAAGTTTTTCTTTTACAATTTATTATCTAAATAATTGTGAAATGATTTATAATTATAATGGTTTGACTGAATATGAAAAAGCAATACGTTTCTTAGAGGTAGGTTGCAATTGTGGTTGTTCAAAAATGATTCTGAGAGAAAAGTTTGCTGAATTATGTGAGACGTTTCAAGCTCTCTCTGATAAATTATGAAGTCTACAAAAGACAATCTACACAGAAATGACAAGAGGCAACATCTAAAGATGTGATTTTCATATGAAACCCATCAAGTTATATACAAAGTTGTTACTCATTGACAATAACCATATGATAATGAACTGTAATTTATTCTTTAGATAATAGCAATAGGAATAGCAATAGCAGTAGCCACTTTTTAATATGTTCCCCTGTTACAAATAACCATTTTCTCACCTATCCAACCTTATTTTAATTTATATAAATTTGAGCTAACACAAATCTTCAAGAAACAAAAAATATGTACATAAAATTATAATAATAATGGTAATAGTAATAGTAATAGTAATAGTAATAGTAATAGTAAGCCTGTTCAGGTATAACAGCATGAACCACAGCCTAATAAACGCCGTACTGTAGAAAAACGAGGCGGTTCGTACAAACCCAACTTTTCACAGATATCATTACATGTATGATTAGCCAGAAAGCATTCCTCAATTCCCCTCTCACCTAAATTTGTTTTTCCAAACCTTAATAAATCAACACAATGTATTGCTGGATCTGTTAGAAGAAACTCATTCGTCAGCTCAACTCCTTGAAGATCACAAACCACCAAATAATGTTTGGTGTACTCGTATGTAAAATGAGCAAACGCTTCCAGGACAGGACGCAGTTCTACAATTACCCCACTGTTGACATTGAACCGTTCAAATGTTGCACCTTGGAATCTTTGTTCGACAGTATAATACTTATTCCTGTTGCCAATAACAGCACGCAAAAGTTTGGTTTCAACAAATTTTACTTTTTTAACCTTCTTCATTCGCTTTATAGCCGAATTAAACTTTGTTGCAAGATAAGCTGCTATAGTAGAGACCTCAACCGTCTCAAGATACTTTTCAATAGGATTTGTTTTATATACAATATTAAGGTATTCTTTAATTACCACGTTTTGCGTTGGATTCTCCGTAGTATCAAGACCGAAATATGCATATTTTTCGGAACCGGCAGAAAAAGGCTGTTTGGACATTTTGAAAGAGAATTCCCGAGAAAAGAGCTGTTCCTTGGTAAAATACGCACGAGTTTTCAGCCGATCCAAATTTATAGGGAAACTATACCATAACACCACACCAGAATGTGACAAAGCTTTATCCCATTTAGGTTCCTGCGTGCCCATTTCAAGTTTCTTTTGTCGTATAGAATATATATCATCGTTTCCAGTTCCCAGAGTGCTTGTTAGCGTAACCGAACTGGTTATGGCTGTGCAGGCGGCCTTTTTAAGTTTATCAATTAACGCGATTGGATCGCCTCCCACAAGATCGAACACTGGAAACACGCCAATTATGCTCTGGAATACATTAATCATAACATCAGTGTATTTCGTAATTTTACCGAAACAATAGAGAATATTCTTCTTCTGCATGCTTTCAAGTACACCCTCTGCTGTTAACCCATTTGGATCACCCTGCGGATACAAATCGCTGCATTTATTGTAAAAACGTTGGCCGTGAGGTGGATAATCACCAATGTGAAGAATGATGCGAGTGCCATTTCGCCAACTCATTTCGTTTACGGCTGCATTGAGACCACCGAGAACGTCTTCTGCAAAATCATTATTGTCAATCGCCAGTACCGTAGACACGTATTTGGCAAACTTTTTGTAAGAATTAATAAAATCAAAGAGTTGTAACCTTTGATCTTTATTAGAAAAATCACGATAGCCACAAAAACCTAACTGCGTGTTAAAACCGGGATTTGTCTGTTGGATGTGTTTTGCCACTTGCAAAATGCTGTCTTTAGCAGCAGCAATGTGTGGCTTCATAGAACCAGTGCAGTCTAAAACGAAACAAAGGTCGATCATCATCGATTGTTTGATATTAGCTAGTGCGGCGTCTATGGCATTTTTTCGTAGCGTCGTTGCTTTGGTGCTCGACACCGTGTCAGAAGAATAAGATTCGCCTAATTCATTAACATATCTATTAAATCGTTCGTCAGAATCTAGTTTTGCTAACTCAGACTCAAGTGACGAAGGGAGCGAGACAGCCGTAAGAGTTGTGCTGCCGTTTGTATTGATGCTTGTTTTGGTTTCGATGTCCGAATCTTTTGGCATCTTGGGACAATATTGTTGTTTTGTTAAGAGAAAATGGGCGTTTCCACGTCCTTTTTTAAATATAACTTAATCAATGGGAAATCAACCTTTCGTGTACCCATTAACTCTTTCATCATTTCCCGTTTTTAGGAAGCGCCATACATAACAAAGAAGCAAGATAAAAAATAAGTAGCCAATAAATAAATTTCTATTTGTCTGGTTTCTACATTCCAGTAAAATAATTGTCCCTTTTTGTCATTACGATAATAAAAGAGATTTCTAATTGAAGGTAAGGTCATGGGCCTGGATATACGCCTCGAATACAAATAGATTGTTGACGCATATGTGACGTAAATTTGTTTATACAATTACTATATGTGCATATACAACAAGTTAAAAGCACTTGATAAAATAGTTGGACAAAAATTTGAAGATTTTAATGTATCTGTATCAGCAGGAGGTAATTACTTGATGTTTCAAGTTTTCGGAGATTAGAACTGATTTAGAATTACCGAAATTATTAAACTAATTTAAGACATCCGAAATTGCTAAGCAGTGGGCATTGTACGTTGGGACGATATTAAGTGATTGCGTTTATTTGTTCTTTATGATATCGACAGCGAATATTAACGACCGTGGCATTTAAACTATTGTTTACGTGTCTGCTAACATATTTATTGTGGTACATTAAAATGAAAATAAAATTTGGGCTAGAGACTCGGCGGTTGATACATCTGTGCTATATAATAAGAAAAATTGGTGGAAACAAAAAAGCAATTAATCCTACCATTATTTGTAACATATGTCGTTTAAAATTTATTTTGAAACACAAGAAATACATGATAGTATAATAGGCTTTGTTTTTTTGTATTGACTAATTGTCGTGTTGGCGACGGGGGGTGTTCGATCAGTTAGAACCCACGGGCGTAAATGCAATCAAAAAGAAAAAGTAATTGGAAATGGCAGAGGACGTTTTTTATTTCTTCATAATTCCGTCACTTTTATGGTCGTACAGCATATTCTGCCATTCTTCAAACACGAATTGGCTAATTTGGACTAGTGTATAAAATTGTCGGAAGCAATTGTTCTGGTTACACTAAACTAGGCTTCCATTGTTGTATTATACACATGAGGAATAATTTCAATGAACCACAAGTTCATGTGATCGAAGCGGCAAACACCAGAACTGAGACAGGTTCCCAACTGTGGTACAACAGCTAAACTAGTTCAACAACTACTAGCTTCTCATTCATGTAGCAAGTTTTCAACTGCTTTCACAGCTTAGCTTATTTTATTAGGTTACAACATAGACAATTATTTTATTTGCCGCCTACTAAAGATGCATTTAAATTGGAAACATAAATATATACTTTGAGCTGCTTGAACCGAGAAATGCAATAGCATAGGATACTATTATAAATGTTTGTCGTATATAAATTCCCACCCGTCAAAATACTCCCAAATCGAGATGGTCCTTAAAAATTTTCTTTGTGAGTTTACAGTGGCACCTCTATAAGTGCAACCTCTAAGGGCAAACCTCTCTAAATGCAAGCTTTTCTCGGTCCGACCATGGGACGAGTATATTAATATTAAATGCGCAATCTCTATTTTCGGTTATTCAATAATTCAGACACTTTTTCCGACACTTTATACACAAGTCCAAATTAGCCCATTCGTGTTAGTTATAATCGACGATAATTTGGAGAATGGCAGAATATGCTGTACGACTATAAAAGTGTCGGGAAAAAATGTCTGAATTATCGTTATTGACTATCATCTATTTACGGCAATTGCTAAATGCAAGTCACATGGTTTGCACATATGTTACATTAACACAATTACAAGAATAACAAGTTTGAAATCAACAATTAAGTTTCGCACAACATACAGTGGCGGCAAAAAGTTTTAACTTTCCTAGCGTAATATCGATGAATACTTGTCTTTCCAGAAGAAAATGAACTACTGGAAAGTGACAACATTAACGGAGAACCCAACAAGAGGATACCAAATGGTTATCTGAGACTTGTTAATAGTTTGGAGAATTTTATCTCATGAAAAAAAGTAAATTTAATGAAACAAAGCAGCTTAACACAATTATTATTAAAATATGTTACGTCAAATGACTGCTATTGTAAAAATCTTTCTTTTAAAGGAATTTCTATAAATACCCGGTCCCAAGGGCTTGCACTTATAAAGGTGCCACCATATGTAATATGGGGCAGACTGCAACAAAACCAGACAAAGTGAACATTCTATAATTGAGGGGCTGATTATGATGTGGCTGTAAAATTTACCAGTGTGACTGAAAAGTAATAATGGTGCTCATTCATAACTTATGGACTGGTTAATTTTAATGTTCCCTTTATCATACCAGAGTGTGATGAATATAAACCATAACAGGATTAATATAGGATTACCTCTATATAAAATTATAATATGAAAC